GATAGAAAGGAAGTATCCAAGGGGAAGGACTGAAGGTATGTATCAATTAAAATTCTTCCAAGCCTACTCAATCAATCAGTTCCTATTTTCTCTTTCACATTACAGGCATGTGGAGTAGTATATTTTCCATAGATGTGATGTATGTCTGGAATTTGGCTACTGATTCAGAGGACTTCTGGTGTAGATGGACCAGAGACAGAGTAAAAGATATTGGTGAGATGTTTTCGTGTTGGGTTTTGGGTTTTGTGGGTTTTTTTTCCCCATTAGTATACATTCCTTGTATTCTGTGCAGATGTCTAATGCCTAAAGAGATGCTGTTGAATTCAGAGGGGGAAAGAAGCAGAAAGCAAAGCAGAGAAGTCGTCTAGGACATTTTTTGGCCTGATTTAGAAGAACTAACCTGTGCTTGTTTGGCAAAGCTTTGGCAAAGCTGTGTCTTTTTCTAAAGGACATAGAGACACAAAAACAGTCTCCAGCAGACATGTAAAAATCATGTTGTATCTTAAGATTGTTAAGTTAGGATAGGGTCCTCCTTGGCCACTAATACCATCAATAGAGAAAACTGTTCTTGCAGAGGGCTGGTTTCTCCACTAAACTGCCTGTGGAGAAAGCTCACTTTTGCTGTTAATTGCGCAGGGAGTGACTGGCCTCCTAACTTAGCTAATGTTTGCAACTGAGTGATATTCACGTGCATTCTGAAGGTGTCCTGTTCAAAAGCCAGTGTTGTCCTCCTGTATGTTGTGGGACTCAGCTCTCCCTTTCACCACGTGCTGCAATAGAGGTGGGCATCATCCGAGGAAGCCTAGAGTGAGAGGTGGTGCTTCTGCTGGCAGCTTACTGCCCGCCGACGATTTAATTCAATGTCTAATGCTGAGTTTTATTTGGTAGCATAGACCTTAAGGACTTATAACTACGTTTGATTTCTGTTCGGAGTAGGGGATGGTGACTACTGTGTTTATTAGTTACTCCATTTTTAGATATATTTATCATTTCAGAAAACTCTCCTAAACTCAGAACTTCTTCTTTCCTTCTTGCAGGGGAAGAACCCTATCTGGCCATGAATCCCTATGAGGTAGACACATGTCTATTTTCTCCCTCGAGCGTCCTCTCCTCTGCTCTGCGAGGTGTCTTAACAGGACGCCCAACCATTGCACAGTATCCCAATTTTATCAGAGGCTTCCAGATGCATAGCAAGTACCTGGAGAGTGAAGGATTTTCTACCTGGAAAGGCACAGTAACACACAGCATGTTTTTCAGTAACATTTTGAGGAGGTTTAGGTTTCGGAATTTAAGGTTTCCAATGAGGAGGAAGTGGCAAGACTGACTTCTGGAATTTGACGTTTCCCTTCCACAAATGGAAGACATGGAAGCCAGATTTGAACAGGATTTCATTTTTGGGGTGGTTGAGGGGTGAAATTGAATTTAGTTATCTGGGGATTGTGTTCCAGTGGACAAGGTGAGCTCAGCCTGAGGCATCCAGGAAGGAAAAAGCTGTAGTGTGTCAATGACTCCTGTAAATAATGCTGCTATTGAGTCAAAGGAAGGCAGGGAAAATGAGGGGGGAAATTCTCCATTCTTCCCTCTTTAATGTTCTGCAGAGGAGAGATCAATCTTGGGTTTTGTTTGTGGTAATAAGAAATGTTTGTGTTTCAGATACAGTGATAGACTCCTTCCCAAATAAACTGATGGAAACAGCAGACGATGAGCTCTCCCTGGTTGATACTGGATTTTTCATCAATACCAGCTACCCACCACTTTTGAGATCGAAGAGGGAGGTGGATGTCATCCTGCATTTAAATTACAGTGGAGGGTCCCAGACACTGGTAAGAAAAGCCAAGGTATCTGAGACCTTTTTCCTTCATGGTCTTTTGGTCTCTAGCACTTATCAGTTAAACCAACCAGCTTTCCAGTATTGGAATGCAAATTAAATTATTATTATTATCTGATTTATTATTTAGATTATTGGGTGATTTATTTCTCAGTAACTAAGAAGGATATTAGAAGATGGCAATGGATATAGGCATTTTGAAATCACCAAGGTCTTCACTGCAGTGGATCCAGGAGTTTCTGAAGAGCTGACTGAAGAGCATTACGGAGCTCTGATACTGATTTTGGTTTTCCTTGGACTGTGCAAGTTACGGAGGCAATGGGAAGTTCTGGCAATATTTTAATAGATTATATAGAAAACCCTGTGTGCCTCTGGGCCTCTTTATCTGATATCAGTCTTATGGAAATATACTGGCTGATGCTGCACTTGATTAACAATAGTGCTGCATAATTATAATAACAACAACAACAACAATAGTAGTGTGTTGCATATATAATGAGAATAATATAAAACCAAGTGTAGGCTTAGAGTAAATATAGCTGTTAAAGTTGTGGTTTTTGCACAAGGTCATAAGGTGTGTTGATAAATGTATTTGTTAATAGGGAGTAATTATCAAACGGTTACAAACTATTCAGAGGACAAAGACTGGGAAAATGGTAAATGATGAAGTCAAGGTAATGACACAATAATTTGAACTGGCCTGTTCCTTCTCCATTCTTGCAGTTTCTTTGCATTCGCCTTCTGAACCTGTTTCATTGGAATTATAAAATTAGTCTTGTGGCTTTTGGCCCCATTTGCAGGTTTAAAGATAGTGAATGTTTTCTTGTTGTACCTAAAACAATGCAGAAAATTGTCTGGCGTGGTTATAGCTGTTTCTGTCTGAAACTTAACATCTTCCCAGAGGAATACTCAAACCGTGGAATACACAAACCTTAGAATACTCAAGTTAGCTGCTGGAGCTTACAAAGTCCAGGTCAGGTCTCTGGATCTTTTTTGAGTTTTGTTTCTTTGTATTAATTTCATTTATTTTATTCATTCACCCAGCCTCTGGATCAGATTGCAAATTACTTCTCGGGGCAAGGAATTCCGTTTCCTAAAATTGAGATAAGTGAAGAAGACAGGGAAAACTTGAAGGAATGTTATGTGTTTGAAGATGCTGACTGTCCACAAGCTCCAACAGTGCTTTTTTTCCCCCTAGTAAATGACACTTTCAAGAAATATAAAGCTCCTGGTGAGTCATCTACAGCTAGCAATTTTAATAAAAAGTCACTTGCCTAGTGTGTCCTCTCCATTTAATATCTAATGTCTCACTATCATCTCTGACATTCTTTCTAATGCTGGCATTATCAATCTCATCTCTGACAAAAATAACTGGTCTGTGTCAGTATGTCTGAACTGCCAGAATTCAGGAAGCTTTCCTAATACATTTGAGATTAAAATAGGACTTATTAGAGATAGTATGAAGGTAAAACTCCGAAAATACTCACAGCATGGGTGGTAGGTCCTCAACACAAGCTGTTTTACTCCTGTAAACCTGTGTGGACTTGTTACGCACTGCTGCTTGCAAACAAAGATGGAAGAAAAATCTTCTAGAGGTTTTGGTGGTAGCCCATTCATCTCAGTTTTGTTCACATACTCAAAACTAATATCCTAGACTGAGGAATGAGTGGACAGAGATCTTGTTTTTAATATGAACTGTGTCTTCTGTTTGAGTGCCATGATTTCTCCGGATCTTTGAGTGAGAATATTATTTCATCTAGTACAAGAGTATCTTGTTTTCCTTTTACTTGCACTTTTCTAGTTTGACTAACAAAGGCTTGTTGTCCAAGGAGTGGTCTACAACCACTGCTGCTGATAATCAACCATTTCCAGCTGTCTGAGGTTTACATCAGGCTTGATCCAGGGGCTGAAGAATGCTGTGCTACTAGAGTACTTTTACATCCCTCTGGCAAATCATAGATTTTCCTTCAAATTTTCCTTTTCTACCTATCAATAATTAAATGACTGATATGAGCCACATACTGCAATAAAACCTTATTGGTGCATCTCCTTGTGGTTCTTCCCTCAGGTGTGGAAAGGAGTCCTGAAGAGATGGCTGGAGGCAAAGTTGATGTCTCCAGCATCTTCTCCCCATTTACAACAAGGGAGGTGTGTTTCAGTGAAGAGAATTTTGACAAACTGGTGAAACTGACTGATTACAATGTCCTGAATAATGAGAAGTCAATTATTCGGGCCTTGCGCTTGGCAGTGGCACGGAGGAAGCAGCGGAAATATTAGCCACCACCCACTAGCTTCAACCTTCCTCATGATATTTCTTGGGTTGTCTATTGCCTGGTGAGATCAAGGTGTTTGATGTTTGCCAGTGGTACTTGTGTCATCCTGAGGACGTGCTGGACTCCAAATAATCCTACTTACATGGCTGTTCGGATGAACAGATTGGAATTTACCAGTGCTTTAATCCAAAACAAACTTCAAAACAACAAGTTTGCACTTATTTTTTTTGTTGCCTTGTTACTTTACCAATTGATATACGTATTCCATATAAATTAATATAGTGTTGTGTAAGATAATTAAATATGTAGCACATTAAAATGTGAATCAAACCAGTATTTATGTGTGTGTAGGTTTTTTTTCCTGTCTGGCAGAATGTGCTGATTTTGGCAGAGATAGAATTAATTTTCTTCATAGTAGCTGGTATGTGACTATGTTTTGGATTTATGCTGAAAACAGTGTTAATAATACAGGGATGTTTTTGTTATTACTGAGAAATGCTTAGACAGAGTCTAGGCCTTTTCTGCTTCTCAGCCCACCCAATTAGCAATTAGGCTGGTGGTGCACGTGAAGATGGGAGGGGACACAGCTGGGACAGCTGACCCCAAATGACCAAAGGGATATCCTATACCATATGACTTCATGCTCAGCAGCAAAACCTGGGGGAAGGAAGAGGAAGGTGAGGACATTTGGAGTTATGGTGTTTGTCTTCCCAAGTAACCATTATGCATGATGGAGCCCTGCTTGCCTGGAGATCACTGAACACCTGCCTGCCGAGGGGAAGGAGTGAATTAATTCCTTGTTTTGCTTTGCTTGTGTTGGCAACGTTTGCTTTACCTATTAAACTGTCTTTATCTCAACCCATGAGTTTTCTCATCTTTGCCCTTCTGATTCTCTCCCCCAGCCTACTAGGGGCAAAGTGAGTGAGTGGCTGTGTGGTACTTAGTTGCCAGCTGGGCTTAAACCACAACACAGAACAGCAATCCCTTGAAGTGAAATTTCTCTGGTGAATAACCAATCCATTGTGTCGGTCTTACTTATCTTAATTATTGAAGGTTGTCATCTCTGATTTGATTGTCTGCCCACTATGAGGTTTTTAACTGGCTTTCTTCACTAATTTTTTTAATTTGCATTTCTTAAGTTACTATCAGCATTGTAAACATTTATACAGTTTTCACCATCAATAAAAAATATCTGTGAATGAGGTTGTCTTTGTTTCAGGTTGTCAGAAGAGTCCTCTGAGCTGCTAGCCACAGAACTGCCTGTATTCAACATAAGAAGTATTCATGCTGACCAACTTTCCTTTAGTTTTCTCTCAGAGTTGCTGCTGACTGTCCTGTCTCACTCATCTTCACCTGATTTGACTGTTCTTCAAATTTCTTGTGATTTCTCCCAGCGTTTCATAAGGGAAGTGGCTGCTAGCTGCTTGTAGGGAATAGGACAATGCAAGAGGACCTTTTGAGATCCCTTCCAGACATTTTTTTTTTTGCAACTGTTCAATACTTTCTTGCAGATGGTCTTTTGCAGAGATAGTCCTGAGAAAGTGGTTCCTCATCATCAAAAATTCCTAGAGGGCTTCTGCAGGAGGGTAGCTGTTAAAGGCTCTTCTCGCAGATTTGCAACAGGCAGATCACAAGCTCAGTCTTTCACAGTAGCAGCCCTGCACTGTGGAACTGTGATACACGAAGAGACTGGTCACAGCAGCTCAGAAGATGCTTGGGATTATCTTTCTTTTGACAATAAAAGGCTTCTACTGTTGCAACGAACTTCAGACTGTGTCACCAGGGCACAATTGGTGTTAAGATCAGAAGAGTCTTGATTATGCTCAGAAGTGACAAATCTGGTAGTATGGAACAAAGTTCTAGGAAATGGATGGGAGAAAAAGATTCTCTCCTATGGAAAAAATAGCTGGTGGTGCATGTTAGAGCAATTTGGGTGTTGGAAGGGGAGGAGTGGGCCACGTTTTTCATCTAGGAGCATGCTCATCATGTTCATGCACTCGAAGCACTTGAAAGAGCATGGTGTAACCCTGGGTTCAGGTACAATACTGCATGTTTAAATCTAGATTATTAGCCCTCTGTTTGTGAGGCAGCTGCAATTGTGGTCCAGCTCCAGTACGCTGGACTATCAGCTCATGGGATCCCTCTGGGTCTTTTCCAGAGATGTCTTTGGTTTTACTTCCATGGTTTTCAAGATGTTTTTGCTGGAAATTAAACAAAGCAGGCTGGAAGACGTTTCAGTCTGTTTTATAGGGGAAAGTTACTCAACAACAGCATGGAGAAAAGCCAGACAGGTCCATGACACAGCCTGAGCCTGATTAACCCTGCTTTTCATCAGGGTTAATTAGCCCATCTTCTAACCATGACTAATTACTGTACTCACATAGGTGTGATGCACCCCAAATCAGCCTTGGGGTATCTCCGTGTTGTGTCCTGCTGGCTGATATAAAACCTGCCTTTCCCTCTCTGAGGGAGTTCCTCCTACTCTCAAGTTCATTCTGCAGCTTTCCTTCAGCTTCCCCAGTATATCAATATCCTCTTTTTGAAACACGGCACCAATAATGATTTTTTTGTTTTTAATTTCCACATCATTGAAAAGCACATGTAATAGACTTATAACTGATCTGTTTGCAGCCTTTCTAGGAATTTTTTCCTTTGAGATTACCTTCCTTTGACTACTGCTGCTTGTGATCTGTTAGTTACCCAGCCTTAATGTGTTTAAAGTTTGCCTGGGTAACATCTTTCGCATCTAGTTCTTAAGTTAGAGTGTCTTCAAATACCAAATATTTTATGAAATTCAAATGATATTATGTTTATGAAATTACCTTTATCAAGTGAAATGAGATTATTTTGATTTTTATTTTTTGTTAAATTTCTTAATAGTCAGTATGAGTTGTTTTTTTTTTAAAAAAATTTCCTATTATTTCTAGTGTACTCACTTCATGTATATATGTACTGAGAGCTGAACCACTTCACATGATGTGTAGCGCTCTGTACAGTGAAGCCTTATAAAGATGAGAATATAAATCATTAATTTCACCCTACCAGATGTATCCTATTGGAGATCATTCGCTGAAGCACTTAAATTGAGGTGCACAAAGTAACTAAACTCTTGAAGAAGTGTGTGAGATTTTAAAGACTTGCCTTTGCAAGGGAAACTCCCTTGCGGTTTCAACAGGTGATTTAGGAATTGTTTAGTGGAGTATTTGTCACTGCAATATCTGCCTGGCTGATAGACAGTTTACTGCCTGAGCTGAGCAAAATGGAAGGTGAGACGGGGATTAAAAAAGATTCTTTCAGATGTGTCTTTAAGCAAAGACCCACCTACTCCCTGTAGGCAAAACAACCTACAAAAAGTCTTCTGTACACACATCAGTTTGCTCAATGCCTTTGGCCAAAGAAGTCCTCGTTGCCCACTCTTGGGCAGCTAGAAGGACCTTGGTTGGTGTCAGCCAACTCCACACAAGGGGCTGCAGTTTCACAGCCCTCCAGTGTGCAAAAGCAATGTGGCCCTCTTCAAGAAGGGACAGGGATGCTTAAAAGTATAAAACATTTGTTCGGTGCCCATAACTGATGAGGAGATCCCTTTGAGGTCTCAATGTCCCTCTAACTACAGCTGCAATGATCATCCTTCTACAGTGCTGGAGGCTGGATGTCTGTGCCTCTGTGCAGGTGTCCAGCATGCACTCACCTCCTGGGCAGCGAGGAGGAGGAGGAGTTGGGGATTGCTCAAGTGGTGATGGCGGGGTGAGGTGTCACTGAGTCAGGCACTAACACACCTGCCTGCCTGCTCCTGGGAGCTTAAAGCACAAGAAGCTGCCTGGCCAGGACTCCTCTGTACCTACCTGCTGCCACATTTTGCACCTGGCTTGAACACAGAAAAGACCACGATGGGGCTGTTCTACAGTAAGAGCCAGGTAAGAAAAGGAAAGAGAAGGCTCCGCACTGAGCCGTGCAGGCAGCATCTTGGTGGCAGAGGGGACTTGCTGTAGGAGGTGGTGTTCCGCCTCCTGTATCTTCAGCTCTGAAATTTCTTCTTCAGCACCAAGGCTGAGAGCAAAGCGGAGCTTCTCCCTGGGTTTTGTGCCTACTTTGGGTTTTGGCCTTCAGGAATGCGGGGACTTTAATGCTGTAGTAATGTAACTATTTTGAAAATCCCCAGTTGAAAAAAAAAAGATGATGTATTTTTGTACATTGCTGGTGTCCTTCACTTCCATCCAATTGGGTTAGACAAATCAACTCACTGAGAAAAAATAAGAAGGTATCACTAATGTTAATGAGTGCATGGGGAAAATCAGGAAACTTCTACAAGAGATGTGAAATACAGCTCTTAAAAACTGTGGGAGTTTTTGGATATAAAGGAATGAATGGTGACACTTTGTTATATGTTGATCTATACATTGTTGATCTATACATCTCTACATTGTTATATTTTGATCGCACCTGAGTACTGTGTTCAGTTCTGGGCCCCTCACTAGAAGAAAGATGTTGAGATTCTGGAGCGTGTTCAGAGAAGAGCCACAAGGATGGGGAGGGCTCTGGAGAACAAGCCTTGTGAGGAGCGGCTGAGGGAACTGGGCTTGTTTAGCCTGGAGAAGAGAAGGCTGAGGGGAGACCTCATCTCCACCTACAACTGCCTCAAGGGAGCTTGTAGAGAGGTGGGTGCTGGTCTCTTCTCCCAGGTGATGGGGGAGAGAACAAGGGGAAATGGCACCAAGCTGTGCCAAGGGAGGTTCAGGTTAGAGATAAGGAGGAAGCTCTTTACTGAGAGGGTCGTCAGAAGCTGGCACAGGCTGCCCAGGGAGGTGGTGGAGTCACCATCCCTGGATGTATTTAAAGAGCGGGTAGACGAAGTACTTAAGGATATGGTTTAGGGGGTAGACAGGAACGGTTGGACATGATGATCTCAGAGGGCTTTTCCAACCGAGCGATTCTGTGATTCTGTGATCTACGTATTCATTGCAGTATATTCCCTGCTCTATAGGTAGAGTGCATGAACTGCCTCTT